GAGAAGGGCTGCAGTGAGGTTTTGCTGTTGGACATGAATTGGATTTTTGTCTTCGTGTGGAAAAAAATACTGTGATTTGTAGGTGACTATTAGGGCTGTACACCTAGTTTTCCATGGCTACTTCCATTTGAATGAAAAGACCGGTAAGTCTGGAAAGTAAACTGGAAGCATTTCTCATTGAATAGGTAGTTCTTCCTGTTCTGCAGATGAAGGGAGAGAATGCAAATTGGACTACCCCACTTTTAATTAGGCGTACATGGTATAGGTGCACATGTTATTGCTGAGAGCAGGGTATTGATGTAGACTTGGCCGTTGTGGTTTATACTGTTTTATTTAAGGCCAGCGATAAATTAGGTTATTGCATCCATAGCTGGAGTTGCATGCATAATCAAGATTTATGTTGCTGTGGCAACTAAGAGAGACACAACTGAGCTGAATTTCCTAGATCTTTGAAGCAGGGGTCCTTATCCAAAATGATATTAAGAATTCCCATCAGTGTGTGAAGAGCGTAACTAAGAGGGGCCCTCATTAATAGGCTGAAGTCTTGTACATCTGACTCACTAAGTTGAGTGAATTCCTGCTGCTCATCAAAGGGTTAGAGAAAATTGGCAGTTGCAAGAAAGAAGATAAGGAAAGCCTGTGGCTGAAATTAATCAAGAGCAATTGATTTCAAGACAAATAGGAGCAATGCAAGATTTGATGACTACTCTGAAAATCACAGGGTGCTTCCAAAAGGCCATTGACAAAACCTTTCCAACATATTCCAGGTATTGCGTTTGGCCTGGAAATAGAGGCAAGGAGGAACTGAACATGAGACAGGTCAAGACTTCACAGTATAAAACATCAGATTAAAATAGTGGTGCTGACATAGCACATGCTGAGGTAGATGGAGGAAGATGGAAAAGATTAAAAGAAGATGGAAGATAAAAATCATAGGTGACAGAGGGGATAATTTGGGGTAAATGAGGAGGACTGTAAGGGATTCAGAACTGCAGAGGTAGACTGTGGTAGAGGCAGAGATTTTGGACAGAACTCTACCTCCTCTGCTTCAGTGTCAGGCATCTTGGAGCCAACAAATAATTTGTCCTCTTGAGGATAAAGTATTTAACGCAGTTAGTGAAAATTGTAAATTAGGCACTTTCAAAACCAACAAAAAAAAAGTCTGAACACACTCTCCCTCCCCCCAAAAAAAACTCAGAAAACCAAACCTGATTTTTTAAAAATGTTGGAAATGGGGATTATTAATTTTGGTTGTCTTCTTTTCAAGGTCACTTGCTTAAATGTATTTGGTGGTGATAGAAAATATCCAAGCAACATGACTTTTATTAAAGCAATATCCTTGAAAAGTTAGTTATCTTAACGGTTGCAAAATGTTAATAGAAAAGGAAGAAATTAGATTACCTCAGAGTCAGAGAACTTTTAGAGAGATACATAGCTATGAAAATATATATTATGTTTGTAATATATATTTTCCTCCTGGGAAGCTGCTACATTTCAGTTTATATATATACGTTTTTTTTACGGCAGTGTAGGAAAGAGTGAATGGACTATAGCCTATTTACTTTCAAACAGTTTGTTCATGTACCACAGTCACATGTGATGGACTGGTGATCCATTTCCCCACAAATTCAGCAGAAATGACACTGCAATTTTCATCCAGTTTTCTCATTTAATAGATCAGCTGCAACAAGGGCCTGTTGTAGTCTCTTGAACGAATCATGATAACCAGGAAGCACTGAAAGGGAAGAGAATGCTGCTCTTCAGTTTTTTTCCAAACTCCTTGTTTGCAGGAGGCTGGCATTTGTTGAGCTGCATTCATGTTTTGGGGACTTGGCAAGACTTGCTGCAGTGACTGAACAGCTGGGTGCCAATTTACTGCATACACCCTACTCTGCTCCACGTCTCTGTGTGAGCTCTTTGACAGGAGCATAAGGGCAAGAGAAGAACTGAGCATGGGGAAGGTGTGCCCATAACTACCACCTTCTGCTCCTCTTTGCTGTTCTTACTGAACAGCTTCTGGGTAGCTTAAATGAGAACTGGAGCAGATGCTGAAGCAGTGGGATTTCTGGGTACCTTGGATTTTCATTACCTACTTTGCAAAACTGACTTTCTAATTATCCTAGAAGTTACAACCTAGAAGTTGGATGAAATGAACATTTTCTACAATTCATGTGCAACAGAGGCACTGTCTGGTACTTTCAAGGCAAAGAAGTTGTAATGGTTGTTTTTGTTTAGAAAAAGAAATAGAGGCATTGAGATTGGCTTGTTAAGTTACACGGGTCTAGGTTTCTGGGTTTTGTGGTGACTGTAGACTTGTGTGAAAGTGGTACAGCTGCAGGTCTGGGCAGACTACACAGATTTCTTGCCTTCTGTAAACCTTGAAATGAAGAGGTTAATTGCTAGGATATTTCCCTGCCATGCTGTAAAGTAAAACCCAATAGTGTTATGGATCTGGACGGGAAAGTCAAACTGGCAAGTCTAATTTCCATATGTGTCTTAATTAACTGCAAAATATAAACCATCATCAGGAATGGAAAATGTTACAAAATGGTGCATTTTGTATTTTAGTATATTACTGTTATTCTAAGATTATAACCAAATTATTTTCTTGGCAATATTTATTAAGTATATATAAAAATAATAACCTCTTATGTAGTGTTGTAATAGGTGGAAGTCTCCAGTATGCTCCTTGTAGCAGAAGATTCAGCGCCAGTCCCAGTGAATGAGAAAGTTAAAGGAAAAACTTAATGTTCTTGTGATTCAATAGGAAACTAAGCCTGCATAAGAATTCAATGAAGACATTTTAGGAAAAGTATAACGTGACATTATATCAGTGGGAAAATTCTTGCCATCTTCTAAGTCAAGTCCAAGTTGGCTCTTTTGTTTATCTAATATATTCAAATTAACCTTCAGTTCAGAGAACATTTGGAATGCAGTATGAATGGTTGAAAACATTCTCCTTTTTCTGTTTTTTTTTTTTAAGAACTGCAAAGATTGAACAAAGAGCTTCAAGTGGAAAGATAAAAGAAAGCACTCAGATGCACTGAACCACGTAGTAACTAAACATGAAATGTAAACTAGAGCAAGGAGCTTATCAGACAACAAAAGAAAAGAAATGATTATTAGTCTTTGGAATTACTACTTATATAGAGAGGATTCCTAGGCAGTTCAACAACAAAATAGAGTATGTTTTGAAGCAGAGAAGACAGATAGCTGGAGACATGAAACACTCAATTTGTTTTATTTAAGGGTCAAATAAGAAAAAAAGAGTGGGCTTTTGACTGTAAGGAATACTTATTTGAAATCACTGCAACTAACCCATTCTATTTGACAACATGACTTGAAATGGCATTCTGGAAAAAGTTCTGATTGAGTAACTTCTGGCACATGTAATATAATTAGAAGTCTGTGTTGCAATCCTGTCTACTTCTGGTGTTCAGTCTGTTAGTCTCTTCAATGACACTGAAAATGTGTCTATTAGGAATGTACTATACTATTATTGAATTTAATTTTTATGTATATTCACTTAGTAAAAGGAGAGTTAGTGCATTATAAAAGAAAATTGTGGAGAAAAAAGAAAGTAAAGATTGTGGAAAAAATTCAACATAAATGTTCTGAAGAGCGATATTTATGGATACTAGAGTCAGAACAGACTGTGACAATTGTTAACAATTTGGCCCAACCCCTTACATAGCAGAGTATATAAAACCAGTGAAACAGATTGTCTTACATACTATTCTGTTAGCATTCACACACTTAATTTGAACTATGTTAATTGTTTTTTCAATCACTGAGATTAACTCCCATTTTTAAAATTAAAAAGATAATGTTTGTAGGACGTGTTTTGGAGAGCTCACATTATTTATTATATTTTTAAATAATTAATTTTTTTCTCACATAGCTCATCTTTTCTCATATATTGTCATCTATTTTATTGTAATAATATATTTCAATAGTTAAAGAGACAGAAAGAAACCTTTTTATTATGATTCCAAAGTCTATATTATTTGAAAATCAAGAAAAACACATTAAAGTCTTTGCTTTTGACATTTTCAAATGAAGTCAAAGGAGTCACTTTTATAATTTCATCTTGATAATATTGCTTAGTTTCTTGTAATAAATTTGGAAACAGGCTTTCATCTCTGTTGAGTAGTTGGACAATTGAATAAATCCTGTTTTAATAATGGGAAGGAATATTTCCCAAATAAGCAGGCAGTTTGAATTAGTTTGAAGAATGTCTTAGCACTTTGAAAGGTAGTCCCATCAGCCTCCATCAGATGTTAAAGCCTGACCTGGTTGGTACTTGAATGAGGGGATATATTAAGGAAGATGTAAGATTCTGTATGAGAGGATTCAATATCTGTATCCACTTGTTTTATATGAACTTAGAAGTAATATCACCGTTTAAGAAGATACTACTTTTCAAATGAATCACTAAAATAAAGTACTTTGCTAAGGAATTAAGATAGTGGAGTGGGAGTAGGGAAATCCTTGTTTTGTTGCTGAAAAATTTTAGCCAATTAATCACTTCTAGAGGGTTGATAAACCACAGATAATTTATGTGTGATTTGGGGGCTTTGGTTTCAGGGACCAGGCTATATTTCAGGTAACACACTAGTAGTTTGCCAACCTACTCACATTAGCAACAAATGAAAATTTGGGTTGTAGCATCCTGTTCTTAATTGGTTGGACTGATGATCATAAAGGTCTTTCCTACCAAAATGATTCTGTGATTCTAGAATCATTCTGTACTTCTGCTGAATACAGGCTCCCTTTTGCGCCAAATAAGCTTTTGGTGAACTTGAGAATGTGCATATGATTGAATAGGCACTTGCAGTTATACCATGCTCAAGCAAGATGATACATTCACTTTTTTTCTTGACTTCCGTGAAATAAAATCAGATCCTTACAAGATCCTGAATTATGCATGCCTATAAAACGTAAAATGTATGCTGCAACAGTTTGCGTTTTGTTGTGCATAATCTTCATTATGTTTTCAGGATGGAACATGAGGCTACCCAGCTAGAAAAGCAGCATGTGCACAGTGTATATGAAAATACAGCTACCTACTTTAGTGATCTGCAGAGCAAAGCATGGCCTCGTGTTCGGAACTTCCTGCTGGAACAAAAGCCTGGCAGTCTTGTTGTTGATATTGGTAAGCCGTTCTTTCAGATGGCATGAAAGATTGTTTATAAGATTTATTTGTTTATATGTTAATCATATGTACCTTCAGATCAACTGCTTTTAAAACTTGTTTAGATTTGGTTTTAAATTGTTTTTAAACCCCTACTAGATGCCATATACCACTTGTTTTAATTTTTTGGCAGTGTATCAGGTAGACAGTTAATAATTTTTGCCCTTATTTTTGCTGAGCTAAACCTTAATTTATCAGTTTCCCCATAGGCTTAATGATCTGTCATTCCCCTGGAGCCCTTAAAAAAATTATGTTAATAGCTAATTATTTCATATTTCAGTTTCTTAAGATCTCTTGGTTTATGTACTACTGGTCTGGAGTTTATTGCTTTTCATTTGTTCTAAAGCTCCTCCTATCAAGGCTTTATATTAAGAGAAATCTTCTGATGTGATTTCTACTATAAATATTAAAAAAAAGTTATGATCTCAGAATCTCCCTATGATCCTAAATACAGACACAAAAACCTTGTTTTCTTTCTATGGTGCTGTCTTCCCTACATGTTTGATTTATACCTTGATTTTCTGTTTCTCCTAGAGACTTTTTAGGGGTTTCCAGGTGCTGGAGTGTTTCCTTTTCATGCATTATGACTTCGGTCCTACACAGCACATCATTGCAAAACAGATGCTCTTTTGCTCTGTTGTATTTTCCTCACTGTTTAAACTAATAAAATGCTTTTACACAGCAAGGTTTAACAAATGTACTCAATAAAATATGTATCTGTCTTATTTGCGTAAGCTTTAGGCCATAATCAATAGGTAATATGTAGTTCTCCTGCTACTGTAGCTATTTTTATATGTCTGCACCATTTTCACTAATAATATCAGGAAATATCCTTGTGGCATACACTCGTTCAACAGTCAGCTTAAACTGATATTTCTCGGCCAAAATTGTTGTCATCTCAATAGAAGTCATTTGAAGCTTAGCTGAAGTTCTTTGAGGCTTTATCAGCAGGTATCGCGGTGATTGCTGAAAGCAGAAGGTCACCCTGTTAACGGTCTCATCTGGAGAGAAGGTAGATGCTTATAGTTGCCAATAAGAATATTCCCATTAAGGCACACAAGGACACAAGGTATCTCCTTTTATGAGGTTTATTAGCATCTACAGGAATCTGACTATTGTGTTTATTTTTAGTATGTGTTCAGGGAGGAGTGGCACTAAAGAAGCACTAGTGCCCAGTGGCACTAAAATTTTCAAAATGAGATCTTAAACTGATAATTTCCTTTTCAGTTTAATACCACCTTTTATTAAAATATCATCTTGTCTAATTGCCTTATTATTTTTCATTCAGCAAAATAAATGACAATAGCTTGGCCATTGTTAGCTTCATGAAGGAATTCACCCTCCTGATGATTCATTCAAAAGTGAATCTCTGGCAAATGCAGATTTTTAGAATACTGGGATTATTAATACTATTTAGTTTTATTCCAGGGAGGACCCTCCACTTCTGAAAACTCCCCGTGATTAAAAAGCACTTTACCAAAATCCATGTATTAAGCAACTGAATCTTCTAAATTAATGTATGGTTGAATAAGTATGTTCCTGTGCAAACATGGTAATGAATACTACTTTATACAAATTTTTAAAACTAACTCAGTTTTCTAACTAATATGCCAGGCTTCATGTTTTATTGCATATATTTCTTGAACTTCATTAGCAATATTAATGTTTTCCATTTATCTCAAATGTTACTTCAAAAAATAGCACTTGCTTTTAGCTTAGAAATATGCTCTTTTTCACCACTGAAGTGTTGTTCTGCTCCACAACAATTCTTGTGCTGTCTCTCTAGATAATGGTGCACATTAGCATCACTGAGAGCAGCAGTGCTGCAAGAAACAGTGATGTTTCTAAAGATAACTCCAGGGCTTTAAATTGAATTTCCAATACTGAGATGATTCTCTTTGCCAGGCTGCTACCCCGTTGCTTGGCTGTCAACTTTCAGAAATTATTCTTCACTACTGATCTAGAACTGCAGTGAATGATTCCTAATACAATTTTGAAAAGTGCCTGTTAAGCATACGGCACTGAGAAACACTCTGCAAGATTTCCATTTAGTACAGCACAGTCCTTGAGAAGACAGACTTTTAGGTGGAAGACATTCTAGAACAGTTCATTACATTTGCATGTGTTAAAATGCATTGGCAAAAAGACAGAAAGAGGATGTGCCTGCAACATGGCAGGAATTTTTATGATTTACGGTTATTTTTCAAGTCTACATCTGAAATTAAAATTTTCCTTTCTGACTTGTGTCAGTGGCATCTGTGGTTTAGGACTTCTTGGAGAGAAATGAGATGCACTGGAGAGGTACTTTGTGAGGTTTAGCAAAGAGTAGGGAAGGACTTGGAAAAGAGATCTATTACAGGTCACTAAGAAAACAAAACACACTGGCTTCAGGAAATCCCCTGAACAGAAAGTAACTGGAAGCTGGAAGGGTATTGAGGAAAAGGGCCATAATGCTTACCTTTTTCTTACCCTCTCCTGGATGTCCATTTATGCTCGTTGTTGGAAGCAGGATATGAGGCTATATAAAGGCTCAGTGTGAAGCAGCATGGTTGTTTTGTTTCTCTAAGATGTGCAATAGTGGCCACAGAAGCCACAGAGGACTGCTGCCTCCTCCTCCCACCTGAACTTATCCTTAATTCCCCACAGAAATACAAATAGCCTGCTATTATACAGGGCTGTGTAATGAGTATTTTTGTTGGTGATGTTGGTACTGTTACGATCCTAATGGTGTGAACATATAATTTCAAACAGTCCAAATGAACTCTGCAGCAGTTAGGCTAGTAGACACAAGCCCTCATTTTGTTTTCTAGGAAACCTTAGGATTAGGAAAGCCCTCACCTTATTTTCCCTGCTTTGGGAGGGATAGCAAATGTTTGGAATATAGGACTTCTGATCTAGTATTCTTTTCTTCAGGTTGTGGAACTGGAAAGTATCTCAGTGTCAACAGTCAAGTGTATAATCTCGGCTGTGATTACTGTGAAGCACTGGTAGAGATTGCAAGGAAGAAAGATGATGAAGTTCTGGTGTGTGACAACCTTAACCTTCCCTTTAGAGACCAGTGCTTCAATGCAGTCATTTCCATTGGAGGTAAGACAACATACATGCATTCTGGCCCACAGCAAATGAGAAATTCTGAGGGTTCTTTTCTTTCCATGTGGCTTAATTTCAGTTAATTGTTTTGAAACAGTTCTTTTAGAATCACAGCAAATATAACTGAAATGAATGTAGTAAACATGAAAAAAAAATTCCATTGCATAGAGGCACTGTTGGCCAAAGAAGTATGTGGATCATTTGTTTGTTTATATGTGGTCTTGTTCACCCTGTGGAGAAAAGATTTCCTTCCAGCATGCATTTTAAACAAGTGAAAACTAGTATAAACATGGCTGCTTGCAGTTTAAACAGATTAGGTGGTCAAGATAAACTCTTGTTTCCTCCATAGGTTCTGTTTTAATCAGCAAATGCATTGAAATAAAAGCTTTCTCTGTAGCAGAACTTGAAACTCATGTTAACTATTATGTGTTATGAATTGTGATTTCTCTTATTCATGAAATAAGAACTCAGAGCCACACAAGCACTATTGTCTTAAATAAGTGAAGCATCTCAGCATCTTAACTCCTCTGACCTCTCTTTTTGAAAATATTACTCATAATTTGAGAAGTATAAATTGCAAAGTGTAGAGGAAAAATAGATCACCCAATTACAGTCTATGTTTTTAGCTGTACTCTTGTTTGAACTTCTTTTAGGGTTTTTCAATGTGTCAGCAAAAATATAAAGTATGATAATTATTATTGATAGCAATCAACAAACTATTTGCAATGTGATAGAAATGTATTTTAAAATTTATTTTTCACATATTCAGATGGAAAGGAACAGTGACTAATATGCAAGCAGTAGGGATATTACTTTGCTTTCATGTTGGCTAGTTAACCAGTGAGCCCTCCCCAAATTTTAGGTCTTGTAGCATATATTGAGGACTATCAGATCAGCTGACTTTGAAGGATAGCATATCTATCTAGTGTTTATATCAGTTATAAACCTGACAAGTTTAAAAGTTCACATGCTATTTCAGTGCATTTAACAATAATGGATTTTAACCCCTCTTGAACAGAGACATGGTATGCCTGTGTCCATCTAATTCTAAATAAAATGGTTTTCATCCCATTAGAGAGAAAAACAAGTATTTATGTATGTAATCAAGTACACTTATTGGCTTTGCTGGTATAATAATGTTTATAGGATTTCTTTTTCTGCAGAACCATCAAAGTGATTCTATGATTTTAACCAGGAAGAATATTTAAACCATTAAATTAATTGCTCAGATAGATCTTGTTGGTTGATTGACACTTCTTTCTGGTAAACTAAGCTTGTGTGCTTATGCTATCTCTGTCAGTTTTGATAAAATTTTGCAGGAGGATCTGTAGTGACATATGGCCTAACTTCAGTATGAGAGAACAGATCAGTTTCTTTCTCCCCACACTGTGCAAGCAATTGAATTTTTTAAACTTTTTTTTTCAAAATTCGAGAAAAAAATGACCAGAGTGAGGAGTACCTGGAAACAAACAATGACCACGGGCAACCCTTCTCAGAGTTGGCTATTTTGTGTTCTCAGCAGCTTGTGAGAGCCTAGTTAATATAAATTGCCAAGAATGTATTTCTTGGCTTGTGGTAATAAAGCTATATTTTTTTCCCCTTGGTAATTTAATGAGTTTTGAATAAAAACAGGGCTACTTGGACTCACTGTTCATAACTGCAATGTTGAAATAACACTATTTCCACTAGTAGAATTGGGTACTGTCAAGCGGCACATATAATCTAAATTTTCTGAATGTATGGGGATGTCTTCAGCTAAGAACATATACTATTATTATATCCTGTTACATGGGTATGTTGAATGTTTTCCATGTAGAAGTGGCTCTCCAACTCTACTTGAAACAAATTATGGAATCAGTCCTCTTTACATCATTGATTGAATCAAATCTAATACTGATAACATATAGAACAGCATGACCAATGTGTCCAAACGCAGTACAAATTAATGCTTCTGAGAGTTTAGAGAGAAAATAGTTGTCTTTAGAGAGAAAATAGTTGTCTTAGCTATTCCCTGACTGTTAAAAATGGCTCCTTCCTATTCCAGGTGAATAGGAAGATAGAAATAATGTAGAAATCTTGAAATATAGCTTCATTTCACATTAGACTGAAACCTGAAAATGTGGAAATTATCCTGGAAAGAAAATCCAAATAAAGTGATCAATAGTTTTATTTTGATTTTGACTTTTTATTTTTAATAGCATAACATAATGTAAAAAAATCATCATGCTCAGACATGCAATGTAGACATTCTTTTTTACAAAAATGAAATCTAATTTTACAAAATTAAAACAATGGAAATATTTGTCTAAATTTTCTCACTAGCTCTTTGAAAGTATGCTGATATAAAAGTACAAAGTATCTTTTTACTGATATTACCATATTTACTGATATTTCACCATGTATTTATTACATGGTGAAAAGATTTTCTATTTTCAAGGTAAGAAAGGTAAGTAAGGTAAGTCTGAGAAGTGTGCCAGAAACTGAAGTCATACTTGATACTACCTAACTCACCTAAAGGCCAGGCATTTAAGTGAAAACTAGTAGTGTTATGACCTCTTTTAGATGCAGAGAAGCACAAACCTCCACCTTATGTGCCTGAGTTTTCTTGAATCCCTATTTTGGGATGAGTTTAATTTCCTTCTTTGGGATTTTCCTATTTTTATCCGTTGAACAAAATTGTAAAAGAGAGCATTCTGTGGTAAACTTGCATTGTAGTACCAATAAATTCAGCACTGTTGCTGACTTGCAGCAAGTGATATGTGGAATGAGGAGCTAAAATGATTAAACGTGGAACAGGTTGAAGACAAAAATGCCCTCTCCTTACTGATATCCGATAAATTTTTTTTTTTCACAGTGATACATCATTTCTCAACTAAACAAAGAAGAATCAAAGCAATAAAGGAAATGGCAAGGGTATTGATACCTGGAGGCCAGATAATGATTTATGTTTGGGCTATGGAACAAAAGAATCGTCACTTTGAGAAACAAGATGTATTTGTTCCATGGAACAAGGCCTTGTGCTCACGCCATTTTTCAGAATCAAATCAATCTGGAGATAAGGGTGAGTTTGTGCATACTGCAAAAGGCCAAGGCATACACCCTGCACAGCTCATCATCTCTGAGTGCAGCTACCAAACCAATTTGCAGCCAGAAACTGATTCAAAACATTCCCACAATATGGGCCATTGCTTACCCAGAGCCTGCTGCATGAAAATTTCTGAAGAAGAAAACAGGTTTTACAGTGCTCTAGGACGATCTTTCCGCTCATGGTTTTTCTCCAGATCCCTTGATGAATCAGCCCTGAGAAAGCAAAGTGATAAAATGAGGCACCTGAAACAGGAAGGAGTATGGGCAAACAGTACTGACCTGAAACATGAAGGGGTATGGGCAAACAGCACTGTACCCATTCAGCATTCGCGACACTGCAGTTTGGATTTAGGTCACCACAGGGCACTGTTAAAAGAACAAAGTTTAGATGATGATGATGTGTTCGTGGAAAGCCTGTCTCTCAAAAAACCACAGTGGTCACCAGCCACAGATGCACTGAAGGATTTAAGTTTAAATGGAGGACACCAAAATGTAGCTCAGAGCAAGGATGACAAAGCTTCATTTAAAAATGGCTCAGTGGAAGACAGGGACTGCAGCTGTGGTTGTAATAAAGATGGTGCTGGTAAGTCCGATGCCAACAAGCTTTTCAAAAGAACTTCAACAACTGACTCCACTGACTCAGCTTTGGATTCAGCAGTGTCTGTTGGGGACCAAACTGATGCCATGTTGGATACAAAGGCCTTCATGCGTTATTACCACGTTTTTCGGGAAGGGGAGCTGTGTTCTCTGGTAGAAGAGAACGTGCCTGAGCTTCAGATACTTTCTTCCTGCTATGACCATGGAAACTGGTGCATTATTGCAGAAAGAAGAGGAATATAACTGTAAAGAGATCAAAGCAGAATCCAGTGACTGAGGATTTTAAGCTGCTCCTTGTTTTACTGTGATTGTGCAGTGTGACATGGAATTTGAACCTTGTAGTTGTGTGCCATTTATTTGTGATTTGTTATTTCTCTGACTATTTAATTAGTTAATGCAAGGTCTATATATAGGAATATAAGTGGTAAAAAATATTTATGTTTTGTTAAACTTTTATGAAATTAAAACTGGAGAGTTTTATATTGCTTTTAGCAAATAATTGTGTTTTAAAATATACTTTTCTATTGAGAAATAAAACCTTTTTGTAAGACAAGGATCAGGGCATCTTTTATGAGAAATATCCTCTCAGTAGAAAGTTTAGTCTTTGTTCTTCAAATCTGAAAGTGTGTCACATTGCTCCCTGTTCTTCAAGTCCTGTAAATGAGACATAGACACTATGTCTAAAATTGTACTTGACTATATACTGGTAGAGTGCATTCTGCAGCACTGGGAGCAAGCATGGTCCCAGTGCTACTTAGTTGGGAGTAGAGTTGATAATAGGCAAAAACTATGTACCAAACAAGCTCTGCATATTCTGTCATTTGATGTTTGTATTTCAGAGCAAATGACAGAACAGATTTTGAACAGTATTTTGGACTTTTATTTTAAAAATTATTTAATTTGTTTCTCAGGTTAAGTTTTATGTGTTAACTCTCACAAATACTTAATTTCCTTTGCTGTAGTTTTTCATTAGTTATGTGTATATAGAAGTCAGAGGGATTTGTGAGAGTATCAGTATTATGTAAAAGTTATAAAATATCAAATACTTGAGATAAATATATCTTTTTGATAAGCTTGGGAAGCTAAGATAAAAGTAATAAAAATCCAGTATATATCTGGTCAGCTGTCATATTACTTTTCTTATTCACTGACATGAGAATATATATTAAATTGTATGTTAAATAATGTAGATTAGAAGAGGATAAGCCCAGTTTGTATGGAAAATACAAATTCCTGTCTTTGCATTTTAAATGAATCTTTTGAGACCTGAATGATAACAGATTGCTTACACTACTTTCCCATTCCTTGTAAGATAAATTTTACTGAGCATGGTGCCCCATCGTTATCAATCTGTACTAGGTTGCAGCAATTACCCTCATATTGTTCTTTACACTCAAATAATTTCATCCCTCTCAGTGGGATGTGAAGCTATACGTGCTGTGGATAAAAAACACCTGGCTTCAGAAGATCAGTAGTGAAATTGCCAAAAGAAGCAGGCTAGAGTAGGCTAACTGCCTTGTTAGCACGGAGTTACTCCATTTCTAGGCTTTATTTGTAGTCAGTGGTTGCAATGAAGGGCACATCTTAAGCTGGTGTGATTTCATGACCTTTAATGGAGTTGCAGAGATTCTCCCCTCCCCCCAAAAAAACCCCTGAACAACCCAAAACCAAACCCCTTTTGTTACAGCAAAACAGACCTACCTACATAATTAAGATGTCTGCCCTATTATTTAGCAAATAGGTTTGAATACAAGGCAACAGGAGTGAAATGCCAAACTCTTCCAATCTGTGCTGTATAAGCAGATGGATTTGGGATTGTTCGGTAGGAAGCCCTGATGGTGCTGAGTATTTTTTGATGCAGCTTCCCAGCAGTAAATTGCCACATGGTAATGTATTATAAATTTGTTTACTGGAGCAATGTCCATAGAGCAATCATTTTTGTCTCCCTTATACCTTGGGATCCTGATACTTTATTCTTTCTGGATCTGCACCACTTGCGGTCCCCATGAGCCTTTGAAAATAAATGTATGGCCAAAAAAGCATACATCTGAGACTTCTAAAATATTATTCCACTCTAATTATAACTTTCAATACAGCCTGGGGCTATTGCTCTCAGGTGGTGTGTATAATCTATACTTTAGAAAACTGGCAATATTCCCTGCATCACTGGTCTAGCTGCTCCTGTCTGAGGGGGCAGCACCTGATGCATTCTCAGGCTCCAGGTTTAGAAGCTTTGTGCCAAAGTACCCATGCTGGCATATTGCAGAGCCCATGTGGATTGTGCTTAGCTCCACACCTCATTTGACACGTGCTTGTGTCAGACAAGTGACGGCCATCTCTTTTGTTGGGAATTTCTGGGGAAGTTGAGGATTTTAGAAGAGAAGTCTATTGCTTCCAGGTAAGATATGACAGTGGATATTCAGTGCTCCTGAAATTTGGGCTGTATTTAAGAAAGAGGAAGATTATTATCATCCTGTATCCAGTTCTGAAACTTTATCCCTAAACTCCAGCATGCAGAAACTCTATCTCACATATATAAAAATATTTATTAAATATTATTAATCTAAACTGACAGCTGGGATTAGTTAATTATGAGAAAGAACATCATGATTCTATTATCTGCACTTCTGCAATCTGACTGTGGCGTATTTGGTATGTAATCAAGCAGGCTGATGAAATTTGGAGAAACTGAGAAAGGAAAGGTGTGCATTCTCTTTACAATATCAGCTTGCTATCCTTGCAAGAGACCGAATCGGGATCAGTGTCAGGATCCAGTGAAAACTTGTTGCTGTTTGACAGCTGTTTGAATAACAGCTGTCACCTCAAAGCTACTGAGGTACTTTAAAACGCTTTTGTGTTTGTAAACTTTCCATGCATTGTTTGGTTTGAGGTTCTTGCTTGGGGGCGCTTTTTACAATGACTTATTTCTGTATTGGATTTTCTCTTGTTCTGAGCTAATGCCATTATGTTGCATTTCATACAAGTTTGGATTGTATTCTTATAAATTCCTGGGAGAGGAAGAGGGGAGGTTTGGTAAACTGCCTTTTTTTTTTTTCCCTCCCAAATATTCAATTTTCCTCTGAGGATGTATAAGCACCATGTAACATAATTTTTATAGACTGGAGATCAGTCAGCAGAGGTCATGAGTGTGAGGTCTGCACAGCAAAACTTTATTCCTGTATGCAGTCTCCCATCTATTTGTAGTGGCTGCCTAGATCTGTAACAGCTCTATCATCTCATAAGAAAACAGATCACTTCACTAAAAGCGTGGTGAAGGTCTCTCTTGACTGGTTTTTCTTTTGATGAGGCCCACCTTAGGCAAATGTACTTTCCAGAAGAATCCACATGATCCCAGACTTTAATAGCTTACAGACATAGTTAATGTGCTCAGAGAAGTGTGCATACCATTGGGAAGTCTATAGTAAATTAATGAATAAGTAAATAAAACACAGTTGTCCTCAAATGCTAAAACTTTCAGCAATGTCCAGACTGAAAGACCTGACTGTTATAAGGCAAAGGGCAAATATGTTCTTACATTGCTTGTCTGACAAGTGGGCAATAATTTCATCTCAGTTCTGCTGATAATAAACCTGCTTCTGACTTTAGTGGGCTAGGATTGCTCCTAAGCTGCTTATCTAGCTCTAAGTGGAACACGGAGAAATTTTGATTACATGAGAAAAGATGCCTTTTTTTTTTTTTTTAGAAATTAATTGAGGTGGAACTTCCTAAGTGTCAGTATCTGCCTGTTGTCTCTTGTCCTATTGCTTGGCACCACAATTGCAATAAAAAAATGCACAATTGAACAGACTTATTTTTGCAGAACTAATACAATTGCAAACTTTGGTAAATTACATTTTGTCTTTTTTATTACATGAAAATATTTCTATTAGAAATGAACAAGTGTAAAATTTTTAGTACTACCTGTGACGACTATATAGTTTTCGAAACTTATCGTGTAGGAATTTTAAAATCACAGGTGAGAAATAAAAGCTATAAACATTCTAGCAGATTTTTTTCTGGTACTTACTTGTATACAAGTTACAGTTTAAAATGCTGAGTGAAGAGTTGTTTATGTTCCACCGGCAGAATATTGTTAGTGAACTGCCTGGGTAGGTTCTAAATAGAAATAATCGCTCTGCTCCTGTGTCCTCTCTGCCACATCATATCTCCATCAGGCTGCATTCGTATCACTGTTGGTCTGTATTGGCATTGTTTTGAATGTATTGATCTACCCACTTTCTTGCTCAGCACTTCTACAGAATTTGGCACTACTTTAGTACTCCAGAAAAATGAAGTGTGTCAGTGTTAAATATATACTACTACACTTCTTTGTGAGTTCAGCATTTCTTACTCTTACAGTATATGAATTCTGGCAGCTACCTGTTATTTTATCTTCCAGTTTGCTCGTCCAAACCATGCTTAGGTACTGCTCTGTAATCAGTTCCATGTCCTTACATGGAACCTGTTCTTTAGTATTCAACAGAAAATAAATCCTACTTGGTTAAAATATCATTTCCTACCAAATTTCTGTGTCTTCAGATTAGCTAATAAATATATTAGCCAGCAGGAAATCTGTATCTTGGAAAGTTCTTAGCGAATGCTAAATTTGAGAAGACTCCGTTAGTGCTGTTTGCTCAGTAAGTTAGGCCAAGTGGACACAATGCAAAACAGGTAAGGATGATGATGTGCTGTGAAACCAGGGAGTCTGGCTTTAGAGAACCATAGTTAACCTAACCATAAATGTGATCATTTCATTTAGGTAAATAAAGGTGGTGAAATGTGGTTTTTAACTATGTCAATACTGTATGTCCTGCTGACGATAGAAAATCAGGATGGTCGTCAGAATTCATTGCTACAGAGCTACATTTCCTGTTCCTTCTGATCCATTTACAGTCATCCAGGACTAAGCTTTATGGTGTAAGATAACCCTGAAGTATTTCTGTGGGATTGCCAATGTTCTTTTTGCACCAGTTTTAATCAGAAAAGAAAAAGAAAGTAATTAGAATTATTCAGTTGCCTGGTCAGGTTATAGCTCTACTGTTTTACAGTTGCAGTGATTGTTATGTTTGTACAATTGCAATGTCACTTATTGTACTGATATGTTTATTATAGTAATGACTAAGGACCTGATAGTAATTAAGCACTATCCAGATGAATATTAATACATGTCCAGTAGTACAGAATATGTAACCTAATAGTATTTAGGTTATGGGAAAATAGTATGAGCACAGGGTGGACAATAGGGGGATAACAAATATAATTTCAGGGGGATATGGAATGGTCTTTATGAGGAGGGAATAATTTAAATCTGGTAATGTTGAGAAAGGCTAGGGAAAAAGAGCAAAGAGAGGTAGTATACAGAGAAATGAAGGGAAATGGCAAAGATGGGAGCAATCACAGCAGAGGAAGCACAATCAGCACTGCAGGATATTCTTAGCATATGCAGAGGTTCCTGTTTTGACCGCTTTAACTTTCTGGACGGTCTAGTTGGTATCTCCCTGCTCTCTTACTTAAAGAGCATGTGCAGAAGGAGGAATACACCTTTTTCCCACCACTTGGAACTCAGTACTGTTTCCCGTATACTTCCAAGGATAGGCATATGCAGAGGAAGATTGGTTAACGATAACAATTTTTCCTTCTTTTTTATCCCCATCACTTCATTGCAGCATGTTCTGTTTTGGTTCCTTTCATTCTTGCTGAGTGTTTCAGTTCGCTCTGGTTTTTTTGATCGTGCTTGACTGTGCCCAAAATCTTTTACCTAATTATCTCCTCTGCCAGTATAGTTGCATTAGTACAAGCTTTGTATGTAGAAAGGGCTGTATAGACCGATTAAATAAGTAAAAAGGCACAAAAAGGCGCATATTTTCAGCAGTTAGTGGATCCCAATGACATGCTGTTACTATATAATTTTGTTATTATTATCCAGAGTAACAAAAGGATTGCTCTGAGACTGCCCCTTAAAGCATTAAGTATGTGCATGCCTTTGTACAAAATGTGTACCTGCATCTTTGATAGTTAGATAAATTTCAAAATCTGCCTTGAGTGAACTACTAGATAAATGGTTCGCTAATATAGTAGCAATATATTTAGCATTCTGCATTCAGATGAATGTGATTGCACAACCCCCCTTTGCTTGATTAATATTCAAGAACTCCACTATTTCTATTTATTTCTTTTGTATTTCTTTCTATTTCTAATTTTATTTGTTTTCTTACTTCTGAGCATTTTCTTCCAGAGACTCTCCACTTCAACCTTCCACTTTTTTATTCAGGCAGATACAGCCAAACAGCAAGTATAGTAGTGGCACCTAAGATTTTCACAAATATGTATATATTTCTCATTCTTAATCTTCAATCTCTGTTTGTAAAGATACTTCCAGACTGTTTCCATACTTTCACCTCTGGCAGCTGAAGACAAAACTGAAAAAACCCACACCTTAATACCTCAAAGCATTATAAGCAAACCTCACTACAGTATTCAGTTTAGGCAATTAGGGGCACTTTACAATCTCTAATAGTGTGAAACATAATGTTATATCTACATATAATTCTCCTTTTTCTCCTTTTTTCTCAGCTGTTATTTAGTCATCATTGTCTTCACTTAGGTGCCTTTTGAAACCTTTAAACTGTGTCTACATCTTCCTAGAGCTTGGGGTGCTTATGGACTGTGGATGCCTCTCTTGTTATGACAATTCAGCACCTGTGCCTGCTGCTTCTCCCAGTGCTCAATAGAGAAAAGTTGTCTTAAATAGAATCCAAATTGCCCTATATATAAAAAAAAAAAGACAAACCAATCCACCTCCTGCCAAAACCACCACCACCACCACCAAAAAAACCCTAGTAGGAGGTGCTTCAGCAGTTATGATCATATCCAAGCAGAAATGGAAATGCAGGAGAAGAAAAAAAAAGGATATTATGTGTGGTACTCCTAGTTTTGAAAAGATTTCTCAATATAAATTTGTCATCCCTTTTAGCCTTGTTGACAAGATGCTATGCTCTGCTTTGATGGAGGGATATGTGGATGGGACAGTGGATGCAGCAACAGTGAGATGGTATTAGGTTGCCCTCTTCAGTTGTGACAAAGTAGGTTGCCTTCTGCAGAATATTAACAGTTTATTGTTGCTGTTTGTACAGCACCTCAAATTCTCTTTTCTGAATGAAGAAAGTATTTCTTGTATGGCTCTCGGTCATTTTGAAACTGTCACAAGTAAAAGAGACAAAGAGAAAATATATCGTATCGCTGAAGATACGACCTCTTACCCATGTGCTGAAACAAAAAAGTCTGTGTGTACACAGTCAGATTGAAAGCTGATGTTCCTTTTGCACAGGATAAGAGTCATTCGTGGGAGGCGTTTTGGTGAGGAAGCATCATGTTCTTTTCTGTGTCTCTTCTCTGCATCTTTGTAGAAAAGACTAGGCTACATGTCAGAATTACTGAGAATAAATTGACCCTTCACCAATCTGCTTTCTTACTACAGGACTGACAGAATGGTCAGATTTAGTTCTGAACAAAGTGTTTCTTGTGAAAGGAGAAATTGGCCACTTGGACAGAACAAACACTAGTGCAGACAAAGCACAGACATTCAAGATGAGGTTAAACCTCTCTACTTAAAAAGAGGCAAGCAGATTCTTTTGTGCCTCAATGGCCAAAGCTGCATTCCAGGGTGTCCAGGAGAACACCAGAGATGAGACAGTGATAAAATGAACAGAGAGCAAGTTGCACACAGCATCTCCAGGCTGGCTTAAATTGGTGTTTTATTCAGTGGTTTAGCCTGATGGAGGTCATTGCCTATACTGAGCACTAGAAGCTCTCATCCACATCGATAACCGTCAAGAGTGCTTGCTGCCTCTCGGGATCTGGCCCTCTCACCTTTACAAAGACTGGCTGTTCCAACATCGACCACTGGACCATTTAAAAATGTTACTTCTGAGCAGTAGTTTTAAATAATGAACAGGTACAAATATGCATATATATATATATATATATATATATGTATATATATATATATCGATGCAACCTTCTTAATTTTCTTCCCCTCAGTATGTCAAATGTTTCAGTTGGGTTACAATGTAATGGTAAGTAATGCTTAGTGCAATTTCGGAAAGGTAGACAAACAATTTGGCAGCCATCATATTCTCTGATTCTGTGAAATAGGAACTGAATTTGTAATTTACATATCTGTGAAATATTAAACAAACCATTAGTGTCACTGAGCAGGTTACTCACATGAGCCCTTCAATCTGTGCTGGATCATGTCTCTGTGGTAACATATTAGGCTCTGGCTTATTGAGAATAAAGAAGTGTAAATGAGAACTAACTGGAGAGTATAAAAAACCCCACATTCAAGTGGATAAATACAAAAAAGAGATTTAACACAGCAGCTACATAAACAGTTTCAACATTCTTATGTTGAAGTTTGAAATAAACAAAGAGTCATCATGTGCAGTGATAGCCACTTCGTGATAAAAAATATGGAGATATCAGGGATGACGACATGAAAATGGATTGCTGGCACATAAAACTGAGGTAAGTAAAAATTATATTTTTGTGTGCTTGGGTCAAAAGGGTTGTTCCCTGTATGGAACAGGCTATATGATGCCTATGTGAAACCATGGAATGGAAAGAGGGTCAAAAATGGGGGAGCTGAGTGCACATTCCCAAAATTCTAAGCTTGACTGACTGGACATGACTGGGGAGATGTCACTCTTGGGTGAATGGTGCAGCTCTGAGACACTCATAGTCCCTCCTCATATCCTGAAGAGTGCTGTGAAAGATGGAGATGTTCAACCACTGTCATGATCCATATCTGAGGTATATCTTTGTCAGGGGGTGTTTGGTAGGGTGGGCTTCT